AGCACGTGACTATAATAAGTGCTTCTCCAACCAGAAATACCCCCATCCCGCTCCGTGACATGATGACAGGTATTAAATCTCGAGCTTTTGATAGCTATCCTTTTCGCCCCTTGTTTTAAGGCTGCTACTATTTAAAGCTCTAAAAAGTTTAATAAACAGACAGCAAAGAGTCCAATTGAGCTGACATGAGTGAGAACAACGTCCCTGAATCAGTTGCCGGAGCCATCAGAGATGACCCTTGGTTAACACCCTTTGCCCATGAGCTTGCTAGAAGAAGACATGCAGCAGATGAGTGGTTGAAGACATTTGAGCAGAACGAGGGAGGTATTCTTTCCGTTGCGGATGGTTATAAGACGTATGGGTTCCACGAGGATGGTACTGGTGTTCATTATAAGGAATGGGCTCCGAACGCTACGCAGGCGTTCCTGGTTGGTGACTTCAACGACTGGCAGTTTGATAAGGAGATGCAGAAGGATGATTTCGGCAACTTCTCCATCACGCTCCCAAAGGGTTCTATTCCGCACGATTCCAGGGTGAAGATAGTGCTGACTCTTCCTTCAGGCGAAAGAGTTTACCGTCTCCCGGCGTGGATTACTAGGTGTACGCCTCCGCCTAAGGAGACCAAGTCGGTTTCGTACGAGGCTAGATTTTGGAACCCTGAGCACCCTTATCAGTTTGTAAACCAGCGCCCATATCCTTCCGAAAGCTTGAGAATCTATGAAGCTCATGTGGGTATCTCGACCCCTGAGCCACGTATCGGAACTTATAAGGAATTCACTCAAAACGTGCTTCCAAGGGTGAAGGACTTGGGCTATAACGCTATTCAGCTTATGGCCATCATGGAGCACGCTTACTATGCTTCATTCGGTTATCAAGTCACCTCGTTCTTCGCTGCCTCCTCCAGATATGGAACTCCGGAAGATTTGAAAGAGCTCATCGATACTGCACACGGGTTAGGGATCGTCGTCTTGTTAGATGTGGTCCATTCCCATGCTTCCAAGAACGTTGATGATGGTCTGAACAACTTTGATGGTACTGAATGGCAATACTTCCACTCTGGAGGTAAAGGTGACCATCCATTGTGGGACTCAAAACTGTTCAACTACGGCAAATATGAGGTTCTTAGGTTTTTGTTGTCAAACCTCAAGTTTTACCTCGACGTCTACAAGTTTGACGGGTTCAGATTTGATGGTGTGACTTCCATGCTCTACTTACACCACGGTGTTGGTGCTGGTGGTGCATTTTCGGGTGATTACAACGAATATCTCCATGAAAACTCTCCTGTTGATAAGGAGGCATTGACTTACCTCATGCTTGCGAACGATTTGATTACAAAAGTTGCAGAGAAAGAGGGCACCAAGTTTATATCAATTGCAGAGGATGTTAGTGGTATGCCAACTTTGGGTGTTACACGTAAAGACGGTGGTGTTGGATTCGATTACAGATTGGCTATGGCTTTGCCAGATATGTGGATAAAACTTTTGAAGGAGAGTAAAGACGAAGATTGGGATTTGAACAAAATCGTTCATACCCTGACAAACCGTCGTTACGCTGAAAGAGCCATCGCGTACGCTGAATCCCATGACCAGGCCCTTGTTGGTGATAAGACTCTAGCATTTTGGCTTATGGATGCAGAGATGTATACAAATATGTCTGTTCTTTCTCCGTTGACACCAGTCATTGATCGTGGGCTGGCATTGCACAAGATTATTAGATTGCTTACACACTCTTTAGGAGGTGAAGGTTATTTGAACTTTGAAGGTAACGAATTCGGCCACCCTGAGTGGCTGGATTTCCCAAACATCAACAACGGAGACTCGTATCACTACGCAAGACGTCAATTCAACTTGATTGAAGATGACCTACTGCGTTATAAATTCCTGTACAGATTTGACAGAGCAATGCAACATTTAGAGGCCAAGTATGGATGGTTACATAAGAAGGACCAGTACATCTCTCTGAAGAACGAATCAGACAAAGTGTTGGTCTACGAAAAGGGAGGCTTGTTGTTCATATATAACTTCCATCATTCAAACTCTTACACTGATTACAGATGTGGTGTTGAAGTCGCAGGAAAGTACAAGATTGTCCTGAACTCTGACGACGAAGAGTTTGGAGGTCACGCAAGAGTTTCTCCTGATCAGGAGTTCTTTACCACTGATCTGGAATGGAACAACAGAAAAAATTTCATCCAAGTTTATATTCCTAACCGTACCGTTCTTGTCCTTGCACTTGCTGATTAGCTGATGTTGACTACTATGAGATTCTTCCAAAACCAAACATTACATATATGACTATTATTTAATACTGCAGAACTGCAATTATACGTTCAAAAAACACAAACCTTTAATCATTTAGAGAAGGAATTATCCAACTTTGAAGATGTTGACTCCTGAACTTCAACCAACTCCATAGACTCAGCTTCAAAGTGCTCAATGTCTTCCTCAAGAACCTCGGAAGGACCCTTATAAGTCTTTCTACCTTGGACGAACCAACATATCACGGAGTAAGCAATCACGATGAACATGATAACGACTGTGTAGTTCATGTTACCGGCGTCCACTGGAGAAACTGTTGGGAAGAACATTGTTATGGAGATGAACAACAACCATATAACAGAGATGGCATTAATAACAACTCCGAGCTTGCCTAAATTCCAAGGTCTTTTTGCTGGCATACGGCCTCTTCCACCTAATAACATCAGTGTAATTGGTATCAAATAAGCCAGCTCATGGCCAATGGTACAGATCGATAGAATTGTGTTAAACACAACGTCTGACGATAAGTACAAGATGACAATGATACATTGAATAACCATGGAGAATAGCAGAGCAGGAATTGGAACGTTCCAACGATCAGACACCTTTGAGAAGTAGGTTGGGAATATGAAGGCTCCATCACGGGCAAATGAATAAATCGTTCTTGAGTTTGCCAGAGTCATGGTCTCTGCAGCAAACAGAGCAGCCAGCGCTGGTAATATAATGATGAACACGGTAGCAGGTGTACTCTGTGTACAGTTATATACCAACTGAGTGAAAGCAGAGCCGGTAGAAGAATCAACAAGATCTGGAACGTCAGTCAACACTGCACAGACAACAATCACAAATACAAAGCCATAAAGAACACTTGCCACTATAGTCGTCATCAGTGCCTTTGGAATGATGTTAGAAGTGCTTGCATTGGTCTCCTCTGCTAAGTGTGTAACACTGTCATAACCTGTAAAAGTGTAGGCACTTTGCAACAAACCTAGGATAAAGACGTAACCATGGGACGAAAACCCAGTCATGTTGTTATACTCGGTAAAGATGAACTTGGCATCGTTTCTCTTTGGAGCAGTAGCGAGTAGTGTGACCATTATACCCACAATTGCCACCACGTTATAGACCAGTAGAACCATTGTCGAGCCTGAGTGGTACTTATTACCAAAGATGTTGGTGAGAGTAAAGAGGACGATAAACCCAATTGAAACCACAACGTACTGATAACGCTCCGGAACATAATCTCCGTGTTGCAGAGCAGCTGCTGATATGATCATAACAACACCTTGGAACGCAGCACTCGATGCAAATGCAATCTGTGCAAAGATGTTGAAGTAACCAGTAAACCACGACGATAGGATCTTGACTCTCTTGGAGCCACCTAGCTGGTATGACCAGGACAGGGGACCACCACTAACCGGGTAGACAGCTGCAATCTCAGCCATCGACAATGCCACAAGAATCGTAAAGATTGAAACGATTATGTAACCCCAAACCAGTGCCTGAGCACCACCAGTTGACAGCGGTGTTGTCAGCGTGTTCATAATTGCAGTAGGAGGTGTCAGTGTAATAATACCAAACGCTGCTAAGGACCAAATCGAAAATGATCTCTGCAGCTCTTGTTTATAGCCTAGTTTCTCCAGAACCATCTGGTCATTGTTGGCGTCAGTCAAGGATTCCCTATCCTCCAGTGTGTTTATGTCCTTCATTGATGAGATGAGATGAGATGAGATGAGATTGAAGCTCGACTTCAGAAGCAAAACAGCAAGGGATCAGCGCAGTTTATATAAGCTCCTCCCTTACAAACCTGCACCGGTGTATCAGCACGATATTATCAACAGGAAACAAATGCCAAAGTCATCGATCGTTCGATTGTGAGCAGTAAACACCGTCTAAAACTTTTTCTTCCATACGGCGAACTGATGACTCGGTGAAACTCCACGATAAGATGCCCGATTCAGTAACCAAATGCGCGGGATCTTGTCGGTTTATTTCCATGTGTTTGCCTGTTTGGAGCTCCTTTTATATGCATAAATTCCGCTTTTTGGCGCAATCGTTATCAAATCGTCGAGATTTGAAGGGTCATCAGTCCATCTTTGTTCAATGGGGTGGTTAGATACTGCCGGAGTGTACTGTAACCTTTCTGTTGTAATATAGTGTCATGCTAATGGAGGGGATGGTGAAGGTGAGAAGTGGTGTGCGGGTTCACCCGCACATCCAATAACCCACACACCTAATAATCCGCACATCCAATAACCCACACACCAAAAAGTAAAGTATGGTAGGAGCAACATATTTGTAAGCATCACCAAGCTCGAGAACTTCCTCTTCTGGTTCTTCCTCTTGCTTGCCCTGGCAACACTGGTTTTGATACTCTCGTCTAATCCAATTGACTCTCACACTGTCTAACCGCTGTTGGACTGTCTTTAGCGTGTGTGATACTGAAGGCGAAGGTTTCTTCCATTGCTTGCGGGAGAAGTGCTACTAAGAGACCTCTATACGGGATTATAGAGAGCGAAATTTGCCACCTTGTTAGCGTTGTTATACTCAGGTTGTTACACACGGGTTTTTGGTGAAGTTTGCAACGAGATGACTGAATACGCAAAGAGACACACGGACTCCCTGCTGGAGAACCCAGAGTCCAAAAGGCCGGAGCCAGATGCCACAGCTACATCTGAGGGTGTTTTAAAAAAGCCAAATAAGCCAGGCCGCAAACCGTTGGATACTGAGCCAAAGAATAAGAGAACTGCGCAGAATCGAGCCGCTCAAAGGGCATTCCGGGAGCGTAAAGAGCGTAAGATGAAGGAATTAGAAGAGAAGATCACGACTTTGGAGGACGAGAAGAGATTTGCCACTACTGAGTCTGAGTTCCTCAGACTGCAGGTACAAATGCTTACGCAAGAACTGGCAAAGCATAGAGGTACCACGGACCTCAGCGATTTGAAATTACCCTTATTTACCAGTCCTACAGAGACAAATTCAACCCCAAACAGTGAAGTGTCAACGGTGTTAACATCAGTGGGATCCGATAATGAGTTGAAAAGGACTCAACAGGAATTCTCGTTTGAATTTCCTTGGAGCCGTAAGAGTTCCACTACAAATTCTAAGAGAAGTCCTAATGCTAGTAACGCGAGCTCCAATAACGTTCCAACTTTGGCATCAGATGCTTCTACATGCTCATCCCAATCCTCACCTTTTGACTTGTACAACAGTGAAGAACAGAACGAATTACCCCTTTTCAACAAAGTGGTTAAGGATTCTACAAAGATGCCTACTGAAAAGTTCAACTTCTCTGAACATTTCGACGAAGGGGTGAACTTTTGCTCAGATTTGGGTAAGGCTTGTGGCACGAGGGAATGTCCTATACCTGAAGTTAAATCGAATACCAATACGCCGTTACCGGTGGAATTGGACCATAACGATCCTCTGAACTCGCTTGAAGATCCAGCGTTGGACTTCAATTTTGGTACTTTTGATCCTACAGTGGCATTCGCAAACGAATCGAATTATGCGGATCTGTTTGACTCTCACGGGGAGTCTGATCCACTAGCAGGATTAGTCACTGAGGAGAGTGCATACGATCCATTCAGTATGTTTAAAGATACACATGCCAGAGTTGTTGAAAGACGGGAAGAGGCTGAACATGTGGAAGTAGAGGAGCCGCAACAAGAACAAGAACAAGAACAAGAACAAGATCCAGACGTTGTGCCTTCGAATGAACATCGCTTGATGAAATGTACCGAAATTTGGGATAGAATAACGTCACATCCAAAATATGCGGATATTGATATCGACGGTCTATGCTCAGAATTGAGGTCAAAGGCCAAATGTTCCGACAAAGGTGTCGTTATTGATTATAAAGACGTTAACCAAGTTATACAGAGGAACATTAGGAAATGATCTGCTCAGTATTCCCGGTATATAGGAGTTGTGTGTTGTTTTTCTTGTCTTCTTTTCTCTGACGAAGTTTTATGATATAGTGTTTATGTGATATTTTAGTACAGGAACATGTTGTAATGACGAACCTATTTATGTATGGCGATACCCTCTTTAATTTGGCATTGGTCCAACCCTTTGATCTCAGGTAGTGTATACAGTCAGTCAGAACAATAGATTCCCATAGATCTGAGAGATGTCGCTTTTTAAGTAACCAATTGATGAAGTCGATACTCTCATCACCATTTTGAAAGATGTCTTGTACCTCTCTTGGTGAGAGGAACCTCAGACCCTGTATGCTTAACCAAGATGGTGGGGTCACATCATAACGAATTAACAGAGATTTCACCTTATACCGACAACAGGGGACAACCAACATTCCCTTGATGTTTAAAAGCACGTCCAAATCCGAATAGGAGTTAACCAGCACTTGATCGTAATGTCAAAACATATATCAAGTCTAGTCAGTAGACAATTGGGTACACTTTTATTTATCTTTTTATGACTAAGTGCAAACTGCTTGAAATTGGTCAGATTATTGATGGTATCAACGCAGTAAACCTCGCTGTCTCTCAACAAGTCCTGTCTCTTTGATGTCTTTACCCTGTTCAGATTCTTTTCAATACAGATCATGTTGATATGACAGGACAGTGCTCTTTATAAGTACGACTAACCAGAGCCAATGTCAATGACAAACTCAATGCTGTAAGCTCCGCAGTATTCCAATATCAGGGGAACCAATTGTGACACCTCATGTAGTTTCCTTGGACTTAGCCTTGATAAACCTTTAACCTCATCCCGTATGGGGACATCGCCAATCTTATCAACAAGATCATCATCGTTGACAACTCCACTTCTAAAATTTGTTAGTAGTTCCTCTATTGTATGCATTGTGGGGAGAAAAGACTACAGAGGATAAGAATGACTTCAGCATGTTATTTTTTCTTTGCCTTGCATAGTTTTGTAATGTACGTAAAAATTCTTTTCTGTAATTCCTTCTTTTTTGGGGGAGAATATATTCTTATAAATCATAACAGGTCTCTTCATCACCCTCAGTTCTTTGCGTTCGGTTCCTCTTTTTTGTATATGTGATAGAGGAAAGAAACAAGAGAGGGATCAACAAATGTTGTCAATTCGACACTTTAAATGGCCTCCTTCAAAGCCTGGTTCAACTTGGCAACCTTGGAAGCAACAGACAAGTCAACGGTTCTATCACCAACCTCGACGATCAATCCACCTTGGATATCAGCGTCAACCTTGTTTTGCAATCTCAATGTCTTACCGGAGCCGACAAACTTGGACTTGGTGATAGAGGACTCAATCTTCTTCAAGACCTTAGAGTCCAATTGGGTAGCAGAGGTAACAACAGCCTCGACAACACCACTGTGAGCATCGGTCAACACCTTGAACTGAGCAAAGATACCCTCGAGCAAGTTCAATCTGTTGTTGTCACCCAAGACCTTCAACAGGTTGGCGACAGACGAGTCCAGAGACACCTGCTTGGCCAAGGTGTCAACAACAACAGCACGGTCCTCGAAGGACAACGCTGGGTTACCCAAAATTGCACCAACCTTGGCGTCTTGAGAAACGAGTGTCTTCAAAGAGTCCAACGACTTAGCAGCCTTCTCAACAGACGTGGACTTAGCAGCGGCAGTGTAGAGAGCAGACGCATAGGTTCCCTCCAAACCGAACAATTGAACCGGTGGTTTAACAGAGGTCGCGAGTGTACGTCTAAAGATGAGTCTTGAGGCCATTGTTTTTCTTTCTTCGATGAAGTTGTGTGTTCTTCTCGTTTGAAGAGTTGGAAAAGGGGTTTTTTTGCTTCAGTTTGTTGATGATTTTTTTCGTTGTCCACCCGCGCGGGACACAGAAACCACAAAAGCGCACTGGTGAAGGAGAAGGGGAAAAATGCCGCGATTTCATTGGAGAAAATAATGGGGAAATATCCAGATTGGGTAATTGCGATATTAGGATATATGGAAATAGCTATAATGGGTAATTATCTTAATAAGGAAATACGAGGGCTTTATGGGGAATTTTCTGGTCGTAATTCGTACTCTCCTGGTCCGTTTTGTGTTTTTTTTCTCGTTCTTCTTCAGCAAAAGTCAACGAACTTTTCGTCTCGCTTTCTTCATCATCATCAACATCAACGTCAAGGTCGGAGAAGAAGGAGCAATCCGCGTGGGTTAAAAGATGTTCAGATTCATTAGACCACTGTGGAGTGTGCAGAGAAACTGCATACGATTCTCGTCTACGCTTGGTGAGTCAAGCACTGCGGTGGAGACACCAGTGAAGCAGGAGCTTCTAAGCAGAACCTCTCTGCTGACAATTCCACCAAGGGACTCGGACCTGACCGCCTTGGAAAGACAGGATGAAATCATCAAGAGACGTCGGAAACTGGCAAAGACTGTCGTTGAGATTAAGAAGTTCAAGCCACGTTCCCCTGGTCGCAGATGGTTCAGAGCCCCAATTTACCCATACCTCTGGAAAGGGTCACCTTACTTCCCGTTGACCGCCGCCATTAGAGCCACCGGTGGTAGAAACAATACGGGTCATATCACCGTGAGATTTAGAGGTGGTGGACACAAGCGCCGTGCAAGAATTGTTGATTTCAAGCGGGCTGAGGCTGGTAAGCAGAAGGTTCTCCGTATAGAATACGATCCGACAAGAACCGCTCACGTTGCGCTTATGAAAAATCTGGACACGAAAAAGATTTCTTATTACTTGGCTTGCGATGGTATGAGAGCCGGTGATATAGTGGAGAGTTACAGAACGGGTATCCCAGAGGACTTGATGCAAGAGATGGGTGGTAAGATCGACCCTGCCATCTTGAGTGCTAGAACAAACCAGAAGGGTAATTGTCTACCGTTGAGAATGATCCCAGTTGGTGCCGTTATCCATGCTATTGGTATCACCAGAGATGGTGCTGCCAAATTCTGTAGATCTGCTGGTACATACGGTCGTCTCATGCAAAAATTACCTGAAAAGGGTAAAGCTGTCGTTAAACTACAATCTGGTGAACAACGTTATGTCCATTTGGATGCTTGTGCTACACTTGGGATAGTTTCAAATATCGACCATCAACACGCCAAATGGGGTAAGGCTGGTCGTTCACGCCACAGGGGGTTCAGACCAAGGGTCCGTGGTGTAGCCATGAACAAATGTGACCATCCCCACGGTGGTGGTCGTGGTAAATCCAAATCTAACAAGTTATCTATGTCCCCATGGGGTGTCTTGGCCAAGGGTTACAAGACAAGAAGAGGCAAACATCAGAATAACATGAAGGTTAGAGATAGACCAAGAGGTAAAGCTGGCAAAGGAATGAGAGGTTAAGCCACTGGTGCTTTCTTCATTCCCTTTGTCTATACATATAACATGTTTTTAATTGTACATAGCTTAAATTGACTACATGATAGTTACTATAACTGTATTGCTTGTATCTTGTCTGTTCCATCCACCATTGCCAATCTGGTATAGTTAGCATCGCTTGAATAGTCTGTGATTATGTGCCATAACACATCCAAACACCGAGAGACACATATACTACGCTTTAAAGCTGTGCCATACAGCGCTGATTTACAAAGATTTTGTTAAAGTGAAGGAACGCTCTTTCTCTCGTTAATATATGGACCACTATACCCCTATGCTCCCACTCTTATGTCACCGTTATCATTCCATTATTGGACTCCTATGTTTCTTCGTGAGGTATCAACATTAACACCCGAACATCAATAACAGAAGCTGACGACTCAGAACCAAAGCCCCACACCACTTGAAGCTCCAATTGTAAATTTATAATGCCCACCAATCAAAGCTCCTACCCACACTCCTTATCGACACTTCCACGGAGAACCACCTCCCAGAACAATGACTAATCACAAAAAAAGAGAAGGCAATTAAGAGGAATCGAATGCTTCGCTCTAATTGGCCAATTGGCATTTATTCGATCGGCGCGTAATCTCTCGCGATGTAGCAAAAAACAAAAAAAAAACATCCATCGAAAGCACTCTTTTGACCGCCACAAGCAGAATGTAAACAGACAGAAAACGTTCTCGCTTTGGAGTTTGAGATAGGGCGGTTATGTCATTTGTCAATCCATTTGGTTCTAAAGACGGTGGCTCGAACGGATTAGGCCATAACGGGTTTGAAGTGTCTTTGAACTACGTGGCGGGTCTTCCAGATGCGAATCTGGTTCAGCATTCAACGTTGAAGTTGACGTTTAAGGCGCTGTTGAAAAGGGATGACACGACAAAGGAAAGGGCGCTTGGGGAGCTGTGTAACTTCATATGTGCTGAGAACCTGGAAGTGCTGAAAGATGATATGGTGCTGATGACATGGGTCCAGCTGTATCCCAAACTATCGGTATCAGATTCAAAGAATGTGAGATCTTTGGCTCATCAGGCCGAGACACTATTCATTTCGGTGCTGCAGAGGTCATATGCCAAGTACCTAAAGGATACTATCCCTGTGCTCCTCACAGGGATCTACGATATGGACTCGTCGGTGGTGAATTCAACGCTAAAGAACATGTCAGCCGCGTTCAAAGATACTACAAAGATCAACAATCTTTGGATCATATTCCAACTGGAATTGTTGGAGTTCGCTGATCAGGTGATCAATAAGGAGACTGTGGATTCCATATCTGACGATAGATTCGTTTCCAGAGCTGAAATGGAGCTGAAATATCAAAGACTGGTCAATGCCTCGATTCCAGTGGTTTCCCATCTCATACAATTAGCGTTAAAGACCTCACCGGAGAAGGTGGAATCGAATATTGAGAAGTATCAAGAGTTTTTCCTATATGAAAACCTGTGGCATTATCTCAGGGTCAGTTCTAACGGTAACGTCCAGAGAATTTATAAAACTGTTCTTTCTCTGGTAAATGCCGTGATTAAATTGAAACCTGAGCTGTTGACTCCAAAAGCCTGGAAACTTATGACCAAGAGGCTGCTAAAATCTTTGACTTTTGCTAAAAAAGTCGATCTCTCCTCAAAAAACTCATTGTTGTATTCATCATTAATAATTCCTATCATTTCAACTTTGAACAACGTCAGTGAAGTAAACCCATCTTTTTACGAGAATGACAAATCTTACAAAGAGAGAATTACTGATTTTTTGAAATTGGGTTCACTAAGCTCCAATTCTTCATACTACAATCAAGTCTACAAGTTGATTGCGGATTCAAACATCTATTCAAAAGATGACTTTGTGGAACTCGAAAAGGTATTGCACAACGATTTCGTGTTGGAATTGGAAACCAATTCAAAGATAAGAAATGGTGCACCGTTCATAGTGGAATCCTTATCCTGTTATCTAAAGTTTGTTGCAAACAACACAGCATTCGAATCTTTGAATGCTGTTTTAGATGAAATTGTTCAGGTTACACAACCAGTTTCTGAAAAGCTCGTGGCTCCATTAGTCAGTTTCATCTCTGATGATGCTCTCAAAGATGCATTGGCAAAATGGTGTATATCACCATGCGAGAACCTAGAAACTTTATTGACAGTTGCATTAAAGAGAAATGTCTCCATAGAATTTATACTGGAAGTAACACTGGAAGATTTACGTGAAAAGGCACAAGCTGATGAAAAGGGCGAAACCTTTAAGCGTCATCCATGTTTCACGGTTTTTGATTTTGTGCTGAAGAATAACCTTACTCAGTATAAACCACAGTTTGATGAATTTTTAGAGGAACTTCCTTCTTATATCACACCACTCCTGATTGATAAACCTATTGATATCTTGGAGCACTATTCAAGATCTGCACTGTATGATGAGGGTCTATTTGTTGACACTTTTGATTGCTTTGCGTTACAGTTGGATACAATGGACTTGAAGGATAAGTTGCTCTCAAGGATGGATTCCATGGATCACAAGAACATTCTGTTGAAAAGTTCTAAAGAGTTGGAAATTGTTATCCATGAAAGCTTTGCTGATTATGACTTTTCAACAGACTCATTGTTTAAGGCGCATCTCCTTTCTGAAAGTTCTGCTTTAAATCTATGGAACTTGGCAAAACAACAAAGAAAAGAACCTTTATTCATCAAATATCTCTTAGATAACAATGGTGCATCATTACTTCCTTCATTGTTAAGGGAGACTGATATTTTACAATCAGTGTTGTGGCTTGGAGACGTCAATGAAAATTTCCACGAAGAAGTACAAAGACTTTTCGGTGATGAATCGATCCAAGAAGAGTATTTCCGATTGTTGAAACAAGCAGTGACACAATCAGGAGCTACACCTTCAATTGTGGCAATTGTTAAACAGCTGATTACCAAATCTCCTGAGATCCGTTTAATTATTTTTGGTGGTGATCACATGATGGACCTAGTCGAAGCATATGGTGATGTCATAGATTCGAGATTGTCAATCGGCAACCCATTACAAACAAGCATCTATCTTCTCCCAACAGAGCCTAATAGTTTCAAATTTGAGGCTCTCGGTGGTATCATCAGATATGCCATTTTCTTACAAGCCATCGGATTGACTGATGACTTGTTTTATTTGTCAATAGTTGCCGAAATTGCAACGGATTATGAATTCCTTAATGATGGAACCCACGTATCAGTGGATGCACCTGCTTTACAGCCTCTGCAAACCCAATTGATCTCAAAATTTTCTGGTGAGGACTATGCTTCATTGGTTTCCCAGCTGATTTCCAGATCTTATCAAGGTTCATTAAATGAGTTGATTTCAGAAAGCAATATCATTGGGTTCTATGGTACACGTCTGTTGAAATTAATTCTGCAAAAGGTCACCATATCACCAAAGCAATTAGCAGGGTTGGATTTTGACGGGTTTACCCGTTCTACCGTACGTTCTAAATCTGCAATTGATCATTTGATTTTTAACACAGTTTTGTCTACTCTCCAGCAATTTCTTCACGATGAGAAATTTGAAAGATCTCGAATTTTAGTTGCATCTGAAACGATTGGTCTTCGTACACCAGAGATTATAACCGTTGGAGTGGAGCGTCTAGTTACCCTTAACAGCTTCTTGTTACTCGACGACTACGAAGCTACCGAGTGTCCTTTGGAACATAGAAGGCTTAACATGGTTATAAGTGAACTGAACAAATGGATTGATAGTGAAGTTGCGTATGATGCGGAATTCCGCAAAGTTAGAATATTGATTGTTCAACTTTTACATACCTTGAACAGATATTCTCTAAAAAATGATCAATTTGAAGAGTTGACTCATAAGGTCTTACAAGAGGCGAGCGGATTGATCAGCATTGGCGAAGAAGGGATCGAATTGAAATACTACACCTTAAAGCTTTTCATCTTGTTACAAAAGCAAGACAAACTGGATTCAACCGTGGCTAAAGACATTGAGAATGAGCTACTGGATGCGTTCGTCAACCAAGAAATTTCATACGTTGATCAACCTGTATTGATTTACTTTGAAATGTTGAATCGTGTCTTATCCAAGCTACCAACTAGCCGTTTCGTTGAGTTTTATGATCAGTTGGTTTCTAAATATCATTCCAATTTGCCTGTTGACATAAAGAGACCGCTCTTGAATATACTGAAACGATTGATTCTTTCAAAGCAGCAGGATCAAGTTATTGAGTTTGAACTTTCCAAAGACCGTGATGATGATTTTGGAAGCTTCAAGCTTCCTGAATACATTATAGATGACGTTCGTAATGTTCCAGCCCTGACTGGCAAGAAAGAAGATGAAGATGACATAAAGCTATTGGAGTATCTATGGCATTGGGACTTAGTGTTATTGAACTTCAAAGACATCACGTTAAGGATGAGATCCATGTTTATTCAACAGTTGCAGACCGAGAATGATGATCTTTTAACAAAATTCTTAGATTTCTTATCCCTTATCATCATAACGGGAGCTGACGATAAATCATTCATGTCGTTATTGGAGGACACTACCGATTTTACGGATTATGACTTTGTCAATAGCCACTGTGAAAGTACCGGTGAAGAAGTGAAATTGCTCGCGGTTCATTTATACTTCACTATTCTTTCAACCATTGGCTCGCTTGGATCCAGTTGGTTTAGTGACATCAAGGACCGTGGGTTCAAACAAACATTAGAGAAGTTCACCACGAAATATATCAGTCCAAGTCTTATTGATAAGAAGCTGGTTCACTTTGAAAACCAGGTTGACAAGTTTATGGAAGAACACGAAAATCTTACAGTTAAAGTGAACCGTATCACCAATGAGATCAGATGTACATATCTCATTGATGAGCAATATCTTGAGGTTGTCTTCAAGATTCCGATGAACTATCCACTTTCAAATGTTGAAGTTGTCGGTCCCAAGAGGGTTGGTGTCAAAGAGACTCAATGGAAGGCTTGGATCCTTGCCTGTCAACGTATTATAACGTTACAGAACGGAGAATTATCAGAGGCATTAACTTTCCTGTTGAAGAATATCACTTTCCATTTCAAAGGATTCGAAGAGTGTTCTATTTGTTATTCTGTGTTGCACCAGGATAACTCTCTGCCTTCAAAAACCTGTTCCACCTGTAAAAACAAATTCCATGCTGGTTGTCTTTATAAATGGTTCAAGTCCAGTGGTGGAAATACCTGTCCATTATGCCGTTCTACGTTCAACTTTAGATAGACTTGACTTTTGTTGTTGTTATTTACAGATTTATATACACGAAGAGTACTTACACGGTTTGTTGTGATTGTTGTTGTTCTTCCACATCCACGGTTTTCAACTTGTTGAACTCCACTTTAGCCTTCTCTTTCAACTCTTCTAACAATGCCTTTGGCGTTTGCAGTGCAACTCTGTCAATCGATTCATGTGTAACCAAGTTTCCATCCCAGTTTGACATTTCACCTTTTCTCCACTCGTCCTCCCAGTGGATCTTTGACTTTGTCTGTGCATTTTCGATAGAGGTTGCCAAATCCGCAACGGCTTCCTGTGTATAGATTGGTCTAAACTGTGCACTGTACCAGATGTTGCCATCCTTGTTTCTTGGTCTGAATCTCATTGCAACGTCCTTCAAGGTCAAATCTCTCATGGATCTCAGCTGGACCAAGTTTTCGTAGAGCTTGACAGATCCCTCGTAGGTATCGCAATCAACGACGGCCATCAAACGCCATATATCTCTTCTCAACGATGGTCTTTTATTCTGCCAGTTTGGTCTTTGGAATTGAGTCTTTATTTGATAATCAGTGAACGTCGGTAATTGTGAATAAAGAACTTGGCCAGATTCCAAGTTTCTGAAAAGGAACACCTGTGGTGCATAGCCATTCTTAGCTAACCAGTTGGCACTACGGAATCTGTTTGACATTCTTTCCCAATACAAATTCCTGTACAATATGCGGTTGGTTTAGTACTTCAAGGGAACTGCTTCAAATGTAATTTTTTCTCAACGACGTGTGGGTTTTTTTCACTTCATAGACATCCAAACATCCAAACATGCACACACCTGGACATCCAAACACCCGAACATTATTCTTTGGTGATTTTGCTTTTTTTTTTCTCCCTCTCTTTTTCTCTTCTGCCGGCAGGAGACACATTCCCCTAAATTCCCCCTTTTTTCCCCTTTTGGCTGACGGAAGACAATTTTTATTCCTCTCATTTCTTTTTGTTTCCATCACGAGAGAGTTCGAGAAATTGGTTTGTTTACAAATTGTACGATCAACCGCTGACCAACCTTTTCTTTTTGGGAACATCCTTGCCAAAAAAAAAAGAGTATAAACGCGCCCACATTCGCATCGAAGAGGAACACAACCCATAGAGATATTTGATCAAGGGTATTGGTACTTTTCAATAGGGTGACTACATTTTGTAAACGACGACTACGACTACGACTACGACCACGAACAAAAATACGATCACGACTACAAACGACGACCACGACCACAAACAATAACTCACATCGAAGATAATCATCACGAGTAAATACTTAATCAAGAATTACACCACAGATTACATCGGAATGAACGCAACTGCTATTGCACCTACCTTCAAACTTGTGGAGAAGCCTCCGTTGATTGATGGCATCCCCGATAACATTTTGGCGCTGATTGCACCTATTGTTGCCTATTGGTCATACTCTCTCTTCTTCTATACTATTGATACGTTGGAATTGGCTGAACAGTTTAGAATCCACCCACCGGAAGAAGTGATCTCAAGAAACAAGGCTACAAAGTTGGATGTGCTGAAGGACGTTTTGCTACAACATTTCATCCAGACCGTGGTTGGGGTACTGTCAACGTATTTGGATGAAGACCAGTACACCGGAGATGAAGTTTATCAAACTTGGGTGTTGAAACAGAGGGTTCCTTGGTTACCTTGGAACCTCTGTTGGTTGATCTACAACTATGGATTCTCGATGTTGAAGATCACCATTGCATTTGTCATTATTGATACATGGCAATACTGGTTGCACAGAATAATGCACATGAACAAGTTCCTCTACAAGAGATTCCATTCTCGTCATCACAGGCTCTACGTTCCATATGCCTTTGGTGCCTTGTATAATGATCCTGTTGAAGGGTTCTTGTTGGACACTCTTGGAACAGGGATTGCAGCCATAGTCACTGGGTTAACTCCAAGGGAACAGATTGTGCTGTACACGTTTTCCACGTTGAAGACTGTTGATGACCATTGTGGATATGCGTTGCCATTTGATCCATTCCAAAAGTTGTTCCCGAATAACTCCATATACCATGATATCCATCATCAGCAGTTTGGTATCAAGACCAACTTTTCACAGCCATTCTTTACATTCTGGGACTTGCTGAATAACACCATGTACCATGAGTTGGATTCCTACAAGGAGAAGCAGAAGCAAATCACCATAGATAAGTACAAGCAGTTCTTGAGAGACAGGGAAGACGCCAAGCTGAAGAAGAAACAAGAGTTGTACGGCAAAGATGAGACGACTAAGAAGGAGAAGTAACACTTTATACTGACACATGTAATAATTATAACAATCATAAAGCTAATACAATAATCACTAATCACAAATAGTCTCCACCAGTTGTTGTAGTTCTTTACCACATTTAGACAGCTGACCACCTTGTTTAACCAAGTTGGAAACGTTCTTGTTGAAGTCTGTTAAGAACAAGTCAACAAATGTTTCTCGACGTGACTTGAAATCATCACACTGCATCGAGGTCGATGACGTTGTAACCAAAGGATTTGTGAACAGCTTCAAGCTCTCAAATGGGTTAGAAGTTGATGGGATGCAATATAAGCCTGTCAAGTGGTGGACAGTGATGACCTCAGCTTTCTTTCTCATGTTTTCCTCTATTCCACTCTTAATAAACCTGTTGAACGACTCCAAGATCTTCAACCTCGACTTGACGTCGTCATTATTCAATGTTGATGGCAATGAGGAGAGTTGTTTGGAATCGTTCAAAGGCCAATGCAACAGCGTAAAGAAGCACTTTATCGTCTTTATCCAGGAGTTCTTGACAAACGAGTCGTCCCCATACTCCAACAGGATATCTACAAACTTGTAGGAGTCGTTCCTTATAGCTGGGTTGATATGGGTCATCGCACTATGAACAAACAACGATATCGAGTTGGAGTGCAGTTCAATCAGCCCAGGCTGCTTAGCAGCACATTCCTTGAGTAAAGAAACCAACGCCTCTCTCACAGATCTAGAGGTGTCCACGCACAGTGGGCACACAGAATTCAGTATCTGCTTGTAGATTGAGGGATCGTCGGGCAGGTGTTGCTCGATGTATATCAGCGTCTCCTTCCTTGTTGAAGACTGATGATGTTTGGTCAGTGACAGCCTCTTCACAATGTCATCTTTATCCTTCACCAGCCTCTGGTTCGGTAGTGATATCGTCTTGGCCGTGAAACTAGTGTCTGTGAAGTTTGAAGCCTTAGCCTTTTCTTTACCAACCTTCAACTTAGTTTTCTGATCTCCGCTTGTTAGTAGAGTGCGTATGTGGTGTTGGCGTGCTGATCTTTGCTTACCTGGAAATCCTTTTGCTTGTCCTTCTTCTTCTTGGTTGAGCCCATTTCCTCCCTGTTTATCAAATATAAATTCTGATAAAATAAGTAAATAAATGAAATTTATTCGTCCAGAGATAAATTCATCTAGAGGTTTAAAATTTATTTCCATCAGAATAAATATAAATATTTATCTGTTTTTCCATAAATATTCATCTTCGTGAAAAAAATTTCGAGGGCTCATCAACACCCAAAATCAGCATACATCACATTAATACCCTGGGAACCTTCTAATCAAATATTCTGTGTTAAAATGGGAAGTAAGAACCATAGCGAGATACCAACGCTATCCTCCACGAGATCTAAGCTTGGAGATTCATGGATTCCCCTTTTCGAGGAACAAATACGATTCCAAAAGGAGCATTTCATCACTGCCATGAAGAACCTCATAAGGCATCCGAACATAAATTCCACTGTCATCCTAAGAGCAGACATAATAAGCGAACGGCTATACGATCTGTCGAACAATAAAGCCAATGAAGCTGCAAGTGATGATGACGATGTCATACCGAACAAACCTGATATTCCGCGGGGATGTGATGGTGAAGTTGTGCTTGAGAAGAACCTCGACGACGTTTCTCTAAAGAGCGTTCCTCTCGACGGACAGTGGGCTCCCACAGTAGAAATCGTTAGAAGGATTATCCCAAGAAACCCGTTCAAGGATTGCATAATCAACCAAACATGTCTGATGCTGTCTTTGGAGGACTCAGTGCTCGTTGTGTATAGACCTCACATCGATTCCGTGGAAGACTGTCCCTTCTATCTACCAAGTGTCCAGGCTGTAGGTATACTGTTGACTGGTGACAAATTATCGGTCCATTACCTTCCCTTCAACTACTTGGATGAACAAGTGTTGAAGCAGTTCAAGAGCATCGATCCAAACGATAGAAACGTTAGAATTGCACTGAGACTGTTACAAACGTCAAAGAAGCACTCCACTGGAGTTATGGATGGCTATCAGAAACGCGTTAACCATGACTTGGTTGTTTCAAAGACCTCGTTCCAGGATAGGTACATCTCGCTGAAGAAGAAGTATACAAAGTACTTTGTTGACAACTGGGTGGAGTCCACTGACCCTAGGAAACATGTATTTGAAGATATCGCAATTGCAGCATTTCTCATTGAGCTCTGGTCAAAGATCTATAAGGACAAGAACGACTTCGAGTTTAGAGATTTGGGCTGTGGTAATGGGCTATTGGTGAATATTTTGTTGAGTGAAGGATATAGGGGCTTTGGAATAGATGCGAGATCGAGGAAGTCTTGGAAGATCTATTCAGATGAAGTCCAGTCAAAGCTTAAAGAGCAGGTTATCATACCTTCTGTCTTGCTCAAACCACACCCTCAAGTGAAATCCATGGCACCGCATATAAGCGACAACGGCCGTGTCTTTCAAATACCGGTGAATAGTAACATCAACGATGAAATTCCAGTTGTTGCCTATTACTCATCAGCTGCTCTCTTACGTTCACAATCCGTCAATACTGCACAGTTCCCAAAGAACACATTCATCATTGGAAATCACTCAGATGAGCTGACATGCTGGATTCCACTCCTGGGTTATCCTTTCTTGGTGATACCATGTTGTTCTCATGCTCTGAACGGTTCAAGGATCCGTTATAATCCAATGAGTAGTGGTAGAGCTTCAACTTATGCATCGTTGGTAGACCACGTTGAACTTCTCGCAAAGCAGTGTGGTTGGGAAGTTCAAAGAGAAATGTTGAGAATACCAAGTACAAGAAACGCTGCAATCATTGGATACAAAAGAGATGTAAAAGTTTCTAAAGATATCTACGAGTTATTGGCTATGGAAGGTGGTGCCGAAGGTTGGGTTGAAAATACAATGGCATTGGCCAAAAGACCTCCAAGAAAGCATTAGATCATATGCATATACAATGTTTTTGTTAAAAAAAAAAATAATATCATAATAACTGCTGTAGTCTTTTCTCTCTCATTTACCTCTCTTTTGTTGTCTTCTCTTACGCTTCATACCAATGAGCTTCTTGGTATCGTCGTCAAGGCCAGATTTGGATGGTTCTTTGTCTTCAACAATGGTCTTCTTTCCAACATGCATTCCCTTATTGGTATTTCCTTGTTTCTTCTTGGTGTTCTTTTTACTCTTCTTGCTCTTTGGTTCAGTAGTAGCATCCTTCTCTTCCTCGTCGTTTGATCTCTTTCTCTTATTTTCAACACCAGCTGAAGACTTTCTAGCATGAAGCATCTTTTCCCTTCTTCTCTTCACGATATTGGCATGCTCAATCGCAAATTCAACAATGAGCTTCCTCTTTGCAAGACCCTCTAATTCTGCAATCTTCTTCTCCTCATCATCAAGACCTTCAAGGATTTCACTTGGTGTGACTTCATGGGCATTCAACCATCTCAGACCCATTAACGCTGTTTTATGGTCTCTAAACTCAAGGAAACCATAACCTCTACTACGTCCTGCATCTCCAGATCCCTTGACCTCCATGATGATCTTCGCCTGTCTAACAACACCTTGTTTCTTGGATCTGTTGGACTCAACTTCCCCTGCTTGCCATCTTTCTTTCTCCTTTTGAGATCTAATTGCCTCTTCTTTGGTAAGTGGTTGTCTCTTACCATCCTTAACCTCTGTCGCAAATTGAACAACTGCCTTACGTGCTAACGCCTTCAATGCCTTCGCATTCATTGCCCTTGGTAAGTTTCTAATAGCCAATCTCGTTAATGAGAGGTGGAGTGATGGGTTCTTGTTTAAATGTTGAACTCTGAGCTTGTAAGACTTCTCTCTTAATTCTAAATCGGATTTCGACAACTTGGAAGCAAGTTTGGAGTTCTCTGTAATTCTACCTTCATTCAACAGATACAAGTTACGCTTATCTCTTTCACCCGGAGTCTTTCCTAACAATTCCATTCTCTTCTGTGCATTCTTCTCTGTGAGTCTTGATGCAGATTCCCTATCAACTGTTGGAGAAATTGACAAAATACGTCCTTCAAAGACATAGTCTGGGGAAACATCATCTGAAATCAAAATAGAGGTTGTAGAACTCTCTGGTGCATTCGCTAGACATTTCTCATAGGATTCCTTTTGATAAAACGCAACAAATGCAGTACCTTTAGCCAAGCCAGTTTCCTTGTCGATAACAGGCAAGGCATACTTAACAGGACCAAATTTTTCAAAGTGTTGCTTCAAGTCTTCAGATTCAGTGTCATAAGGAATATTACGTACAAATATGGAGAAGTTCTCCTGTCTATTTGCCTTGGGTCTTGACTTTTCAAGCTCCTTTTCTTGAGATTCTTCAACGTCTTCATCAGAGTCAAGTTCAACATCTGAATCATCTGAATCAGAGTTTGCAACGTCAGCGTTGTCACTGTCCTCGAGCTCTTCTTCTTGTCCTTCATCGACTTCTTCATCGACTTCTTCTTGTCCGTTTTCGACTTCTTCATCGACTTCTTCTTGTCCGTCTTCGTCTTCATCTTCATCTTCATCGTGTTCATCCTTGTATTGTAACCATTTAGACTTCTCTAGTGCAAAATCCACAGCAACTTCTCTATCATCTATCTTTAGGCCCTCGGACTCCTTGATAGCGTTTTGAGCATTGGCATATTTCTTCATTGTGACAAATGCAAAACCCGACATTTGACCACCTTTCTTTCTTGGAATAAAGGCATCTGTGACAACACCATACTTCGAGAATATCTTCTTCAACTGCTCTGGGTTACGTACAGACCATGGCAGGTTACGAATAATCAATCTTGGCTTTCTCTTTTCAACCTGTTCCTTCTGAACTTTCGAAGAGGAAGGTGACGAGGAAGAATCTTCTTGGTTCTTCACCTTACGGTCTCGTCTCTTTGCAATGTCAACCCTCAACATACGGCCCTGGAACTTTGTTGTTCTGCTCTTGTCCAATGCAGTCTGGGTATCTTCATCCATAGCAAAACTAACAAACCCAAACCCTCTCGACTGGCCTTCAGCGTCATTAACAACAACGGCATGTCTCACTGGACAAAACTGCGAGAAGAAATCTGTAAGTTGTTCTGAAGTCGCATCGAATGGGATTGAACGAACGAACAGCGTCTTCTTGTCCAAGTTATCATTTCCTGCAGATTGAACTGATCTGTCACTCATCTTCCTTTCAGTCACAAATCACACTGGGCTCCTTCCTTCGAGTGTTATTATATGCGAATTAGCTGAAGAGAATGAAGAAGCTCATCCCAGAAAGAAAATTTTATGCGATGAGCTCTTCGGTAAGGGCAGTATACACCCAGACACCACGTTCGGCATCACACCCAGACACCAATTGTATTTCACCAGTGTCATAGACACCCTTTGAAGAGCATTCCAATATGATTGCACCCATTGGAGGTATATGTAGATGTTGTTATGTGCATAATAGTGTGTATATTATGGAGAGATTGTGTTCTCCGAAAGTTCTAACATAAGAGCATTCTTTTTTGTCGAGGAAAATTTGATCAAAGTTGATTATTTCAGTTCTTGCTCATCACTTCTTCAGGTGCTCCGGGTTTGAATTTGCCTGTCTAGACACATTTTTGTTACAGAGTTACTCCTGGTTATACATATACTTGTATATTCTAAGCGATGAAAACGACCCCATTAGACCAAGTTTGCAACCTTGGAAATGTCGCTCATTTAGACAACTTCCCAATGGCTCAAGGTCCTGTGCACGCTGTCGTGCACTCTCAATTGTAAAAACTCTCTGCTACACCAATATGTGCTGCCTGAATGTAGCAAGGTTATAAAGAAGAGGGAATAAATATTCATTACTATACCCATACGTAGTTGTTTTAAAGTACACATTTGTTTTTGGTATTCTTTTTGTTCTTTAGGGTAGCATAAATACACCTTCTATCATGCCTCCAAGTTCTGTGCTTCTCAGGGTTCGGCGTATAGTTTCCAAAAGATGATGAGGCCACAAGGTATTACACAATCAACAACTAAACAGTTGCCGATACGGTTCCTCCTCCACTTCAAATGCCTGCTAAACGTTACTCGCAATATGAAACAATGCTAATATGATCATTCTTAATCAATATGGCGTGAAAAAATATCACAAAAGGTTCTAGTTCATAAGAGCTTAGAAAGCGAGGAAATACTATGGCTGAAAGAGGTCCTTTGAACCATTATGGAAATACCCGAACCTTGACAATTCATGATGCGCGTTGTTTCAATAAAACATGAAGGAGATGTAGCAACTGTTAAGTGTTACAGTAGTTTACAATTCGATTGATTCAGCAATAAATCCGAGACTCGAATATCGCATCTCCTTGGACCATTACATGTGCTCTCTGACAACAACAAATCCATCCGATGCTTTCCACTAATTAAGTACACTTCAACTGCTGATTAGCCTTGTAGAGCGTGCACAGTTAAGATCGTACTCACACTCGTGCGGTGGTCGCCTGCCTTGGTTGATACACTAAAGGTAGGTGCAGTGCTTCCAACCGGACACCACTCCCATATCTACTGGAGGAGATACTTCACCATATAGGCATCTTACGCTTTTATGAGGAGGGCTTTTCCTTTCGACCATTACAATGCAATCAGAAATCTGATGTTCCGGTCGAATCTCCAACACAATGCTATCATAGCCGTTAGGTAAATTCCACTGCATGCGTCTTCTATGCTGAGCGAATGTTGTGCCCAAGCCATGCCACACACAGTGCGTGGAAATACCAAGCTCGAGCCCGGAGAGGTATAGACATCAATGACTCACCTCAGTGCATGTGTCACTACTCAACTACAAGTCCATAGCATTCATCTATGCTTTCTCTCTCCCTCTCTTTTTGTTCTGCCCACCAACATGGTTCCGGAGTGCCACACACTAATCTCCATTCCAATATGAAAAGAACACTTGATCAGCAGAATCAATACTCACCTTTTTCCCTCGTGCACCGGTGCGATATATATAATGGATAGTGACCAATGCAGATGTGATAGTATTCTGCCATAGCAATTCAGGAGGTCTGTTGTACGAGCCAAAGAGAAATGTATCGCCTTTATCAGGAAAAACACCAACAACTTAGCAACTGGTTACAACCCTGTATCAGCCGGGCCCCCATGTGTTCTGTCAAATTAGCAACGAGGCATAATTTAGAAGGTGCAATGTAAGCGGGACCTCGATACGATTACTGGCACCAAAATGGGACAACAGGGGAGTCCAACTCTTTCAGCCCATTACACAGGGCCAAGAGTCCAGAACAGTGGTTTTACATATATATGGAAGAGAGATATGAGTGTCAGCTTCAGCTAGCCAATGCACACGGTGATGGCGAGAGAGCACCAAACGGAAAATAGATCAATCAAACAGTAAAACCCACTCTACTGTTACACATGAAACTATCAGTGATAAGTATTCCACTGACCTCACTATCATTACACTGTCGTACTCCCATTATACCGTAGCTATCTTGACAAATCCTCCCCCCCCCCTGTTTGACAAGTTACAACAACCAAGCTTTTTATGAATAGGCCACTTCTCAACATTAGCCTGCATTGCATAACTTCCACTGTATAACATCACACGAATTTGCAGGCCTATCGCAAGTTTGTCGACGTTCATAACATTGAGCCCAAGGCGGGCATATGGCTGTGCGTACTTGGAGAGCAGCCCCTCCCTGGAGGTCGTCAGAGCCCCAGAGGAGCTTCCCGAATTGTGAGAAGAAGGAGGGAGAGAGAGGACGCTAACGTTTCTCCCAACTTTGGACAACTGGTGGTTTGGCCCTTGCACATCTACAATCTCTGGAGAGGTATTCATACGTAGGTCCTGCACCATTGGATATTAATACGGCATCACAGCAACGTCCTGCGGTATTAAAAGCTACAACAACAATGGTTACGATGAAGCCCAAGGTGAACAGCGTGGCTTTCGACTACAAGTCAGGACACTATAACTACAAGTTTTACAAACTGAGGACAGTTTTCAGGTATGCGAAAGCGTTTGTTGTGCTCTCTGCGCTGTACATTGTTTGTCGTCATTTGTTTGGAATGGTGTCAGAGGAGGACTTGTCCAGGGAGGTACAACACCGAGCTGATAACGGCTTCGATGCTCCAGAAGATTCGGTGTTGAGAATGGACGAAGCAGCCGTGACGTCAACTCACTATGTCCGTCTTCTGGATAAGTTCACCGAGAGCTTTGCTTCTAAGCCCCTTGATGACAAGTGCGTGCTGTTCTTTGATGAGCTGTACAAGCAAGATGGAGATTGGGGGCTCGTAGACAAGACGGCGGACGTGAACAAGGAGTATGCTCTTGGACCCTACGAGTGCTTAGAAGAGTATATCAAGAGAAGGGGCAAGGAGTGGAAGGAAGAGCGTAAGGAAGAGTGGAAGAAGCAGAACAAGGCAGAGACTCCACCAAAAAACTTCCCAGGAAACGTTCCTGAAAAGATGGTGCCGCAGTTCGAGCAGGACTATCTCGAGCTGAAGGAGCTGGTGTTGGAGCCTGAACAGCAGATGGTTGATAGCATAGTACAGGTGAGGGTCTTTGACCAGTGCTTCCTCAGAGACAATAGTGGTCCTTCGCTGAAGAAGCTTGAAGGGTTGAAGAATAACATAGAGCTAGACAAGCAGGTCACGACTGTCTACCAAGATGTTGAAAGAAGGATATTCCCATGGCTCTCCTCAGAACTACCGACGTTCAAGAGATGGGATGGGACTTTGGTTAAAGGTATGCTGCAGATCTCGGATTACATCGATGCCTATGAAGACAAGGACATCGTACGGGATCCGCAATACAAAAACGCATTTGGAGAGCGTGTCGAACCCGCAAGCAAGTCCCATGCATCCACTGTTGGAGACTCGTTCCTCCTGAAAGATTGGAGAAACTCGATGAATGGGAGAGGTATTGTGCTATCTGTTGCTGACAAGTACAAAACAGAGATTCTTGGTCTTATAAGACTATTTAGAGCTTTGAACAATAAGCTTCCCATTCAGTTTGTCCACAAGGGAGATCTAAGCGCAGCAGCTCAGAAGGAGATTATCGAAGCTGCCAGATCAGACGATATATACATCCTTCCAGAGGTTTATGGAAAAGTTAGTGACCAAGTTCCGCAGAATTTCCCAAAGCAGGAGGTTTGGTTTGTTGATGCAAGCAAATGTATCAATAAGGCTTATGGTAAGAGCTTTAACAGTTACGCCAATAAAATGATTGCACTGCTGTTCAATTCATTCGATGAAATAATGATGATGGATGCGGATGTTCTCCCACTGATAAAGCCAAACAACTTCTTCCATACAGGACCGTACGAAAGAACCCAGACTATATTCTTTAAGGACAGATACGTACAGGCCAAAAAGCAAGTTGAAGTCACTGACTTCTTCAAAAAGTTGATGCCAACTGCTATTGATGATGCTTTGTTCGGTATACCAAGAGCGACAAACTTCACTCTTGAGAATAGATTTCTCGGTAAACAGTCTGCTCATCTCATGGAGGCCGGTGTTGTTCTTATGAAAAGATCAACACATTTTGCTGGTCTTCTGATGATGGTGAGATTAAACATGTATAAGGCTGTTACAGAGAAAATATGGGGAGAGAAAGAACTGTTCTGGATCTCTCAGTCCGTTGCAGGAAATGAGAATTATGAATTCAACAAATACGATACTGCTAGTGCTGGGGCTTTAACTCCGCAGGAAACAAGACCAAAGAATTCATTATCTCATGAGTTGTGCTCTACACATCCGTCGCATGTCAGTGGTGATGATAATCATACACTTCTGTGGATCAATTCTGGTATAAAATATTGCAAAGTCAAGAATGTATGGGAAAAGGATTTCAACAAGAAACAGTGCAAAAAGAAGTATAAGTCGATCGAAGATCTCAAGGAGAAATACTCGACTCCAATCAGGGTCAGCTCAGTTATAATACCTCCAAATGGTGATCGTATTATTAACAATGACATCGAGGAGCCAGTTAAAGGGTGGGTAGCAACTGGTTGCTGTAATAGTTATCTATATTGTGCTTATGATGTTATTGGTGGCTCTGCTGATCCACGAGATCAAGGAATTCTCATTCAGTATGATAACGCTACAGCTGATAGATTTGATTACTTTGGACAACTATGGCTATCTGAAGGTACAGTAAAGTTAAGTGAGTATAGCTCATAGGGATAAGGTCATTATGACCTGGGCACACAGAGGTCATCTGCTTGTCATACTGCCTATTAAGAGAAAAAGTTTTGCTATCTCTGTCATCTCAAACAGAGTAACCAAGAGTTTGCACGGCTCCCACATATGGGAAATAGTCATAATAATCAACATTATCAGCATCATTATTATAATCATCAACATCACTAGATTCATTATCATAAACTAGCACTAGTTATGAAATCAAGTGGTGACACGGTGTGGAAGGATAAGAATAAATATTCAATCTCCATGAATGCTCATTTGTAATGGTCTTATGCGGGTTGATAATACCTTGGCTTAGAAAGATGTCGTTTGATATATATAAAGCTAATGCCCTATATGTGCTGTCAGAAGTAGCATATAATGCCATGCACATGATGGAAGCTTTTATTCTATTCTTAGTTTACCAGCTTTGCTTAGGCTACCATAAAATATTCGTATTGTAATATATATCTTTCTGCACTTTATGTTACAGCATTCTGTGCACATTCCTATATATACGTGTCGTAATTACATAGATATGACTTGGGAGCATTCCTGAAGGCTATTCTGTGAAGAAGGAAAACATCAACTTTGCACAAGTTAGATTGAGCTCACAGCTTCATATGCGATTTCAACATCTTCTGGATGAGCTCTTAACCATTGTAGATGATCCGTGACTTTCTTGCACCATAGTTGTGGTGCTTGCAATCCTTGTATCA